CCAGTATAAGGAGGATACCAAATCCTAACCACCTCAGATAAAACTGATAGTTTGGCGTCAAAAAGTTGTGTTTGAAATCGATCAATCTCAAAGTAGATTTCGTAGCAGTTTATCATTTTGAAAGTGACGTCAGGTTTCTTCAACGTCACATGAAAAATTGACCAGTTATTTCAAAATCCGTTACCGTGTTGGATGGTTTTATTCAAAGTTACTGCATCCATATTGAAGTTATAACGTCTTTACACATAAAAAATTAATATCCTTGACCTCATAACATATGTCGATATATTCGCATTTTTCCGGAAATCTGTCTTAGGCACATGCGTATTTTCTTTGTAATGTGAAGTTTTGAATTAAAAAAATTATAAAGTTCAGTACACACATGAATATATTTCAAACTCGCGAATTATATCGAAATTTTAGATATGTTGTACAGTTATTTAGTGAATATATCACAAGTGTAATATACACAGTGTTTTAAATGGCTGCGTCAGAAATCGATTGTGATGTCATCAAATGGACAATGACGTTACGTCATACATGGATTATGAAAATGACACAACAAAATGGCTGCCTTTGTTTCGAATTGTTCTCCACGTGTTTACCAATCTAAATGTCATTTACTGAGTTATGTGATACAAAGTATTTTCATTTAAAATAAGACATTATGAATCTCACCTAGAAATTTTAATTTATTGCTTGCCAAGGCTAGCAAAAACAATGATATATCTTTAAATCGAAATAATTACGAGATATCAAATAAAACTTCAGCTTTACTGAACAACATGTGGAAGAGATTCGAAACGTTGTTCTTCTAACAAGATACATAGTATCCTCAATTGATGCAATCTTTGTTTTCATCTCCATTCGAGTTTTACATCACTGTTGATTTCACAATTACACACCTTGCTCTATGAAGAAATACAATAGATTTGATACTTATGTTATAATTTACTATATATAACACTCCACCTAGTTTAAACAAAGCACTTGTGGATCATATAGCTCAGCTTTAGAACATTTCCCCCCTATTTCGAGATAACATGAAAATACAACGGAGTGTTGGAGCAGTGTTATACATCAAAATGACGTATCGAGTGTTAATTCTCTCTGTGTAAACCGTTTTCGACTTACGTATTACATACACCTCATAAATCGATGGTGACCTTGCGTGTTATTGACACAGGTTTGTAGATATACTACGGCTACTTACGATAAAATTGTTGAATTCTAACCACTTCAAACTAGAAATGATTTATCAAAAGTAGCTTTACTGCATTGTCATGTTCCTGTCCGTCAGTTTATTTGTGCGTATTTGATATATGAATTTCGTTTCTTTTGTTTTTATAAACTTTTCCGAAACATCCGGCAGGGCCGACATGTTAACTTAAGATATTGTGGCCACATTTTATTTCTACCCTTTGGTAAACCAACGTTAAAACCCCTGATCAAAGATTGTACAAAACACACACGTGTGTTAATAGGTCCTTGGGAATTCCGAAATAAACGTGTGTTAAAAGCACATAATAATTTTGAAATTTTTTATCACACTGAAAATTATCAAAAATGCTATGCGTGCGCAGTTAGATGATATATCATCGTCTTTTCTATTGTCGAACTTGTCATTGTTTATTACCGTGACGTCGCCGTGGTATTTTTAATCATCGCCTTTTGTCGTCATATTTTTGTTATTTTTGTCATCGTCATCGTTGTTGTTGTCGTAGTTGCCTAATTTGCTGTCGCCGTCGTTGTCGGTATCGCTGTCGCCATCGTTGTCGGTATCGTTGTCGGTATCGTTGTCGCCGTCGTTGTCGGTATCGCTGTAGCCGTCGTTGTCGGTATAGAAAAATCGAATAATTTTAAGAACACTTTATTCCTGTCATGCTTTACAGACATAAACAAACGAGGTGATACAAGACCAAATTAAGAGACAGTAGAAAATGTAGACATGTAGGTCTGGAATTACCAGAGAGTGAAAAGTAAATATCGAATGGCGACTTATACAATAACTTTGAATTAGCGCAGTAAAGAGGGAGACAGCAATGGAGGAGGAAGGAGGAGGAGGAGGAGGTTTATTGTGTTGATAGAGAATAATAGGAAGTAACTGCTTGTTACACGATTAGAGGAAATGTGTCAGAGGGCCAAGAATATTTGTAATAATTGTAATCAACACCAAACCACCAATCACCCCCACCCTTATACAGAGAGAGAGAGAGAGAGAGAGAGAGAGAGAGAGAGAGAGAGAGAGAGAGAGAGAGAGAGAGAGAGAGAGAGAGGTGTTGGGGTTGGTTGGTTATGACAGTAGATAAATGAGGTAGAGATGAAGGAAGGCGGAGGATTTGAGAAGGTGTAATAAAATTCAGTACACGATGTATGTTTATTTTTTGAAAACGTATTAAGTCTGTTGTCTGTAATCTTATAAAAATCTAACTAATACTTCTAGAGTAAACTATCTTTATAAACTAGAGTTCCAAGTAAGTAAGTGGATCAAAGAATATACATATTAACGAATTACACGCTATCATAACTGGGATAGTACGCTGTGTCATTGTCGATCTATGAACCGAAAAGACGCCAACGAAACATAACTCGATCACAATTAACTTCAGGAGTAACCATTTAAATGGATTTATTTACAGGTCAGTTTCTCGATGTTCATTCATCCATGACGTTCTCTCCGCATTAGGGTAAAAGGAGTTAAGGAAAATCGTCAACAACTCAGTTCTGTGATAAAAGTGGATATGCAGCGAACTTAGGTTAGTCGGTTATACGCCATATTGGAGTTTGATATGACATTGCGATGCAGATTTAAATTGCAATGATATTTGGAATGTTTCGCTTAGATATGCCTAGATAAGATATCGTGATAATATTGAAAACAATATGTAGCGATAGTTGATAGGGAAATGTATATAATTATTGTGAAATTCACAATATGTCGTATTTCAAATATATATAATATTCTGAACACCTCACGGTTTATTTCGGTAAAATAATAGTGAACATTTCTTGTTAAATATAACTGAAAGTCTCTCATTTTCATTTTTCATTGTCACCATTTACGCGGCAAACTATGTGATGACGTCATTTAACAATAATATTGCGTCACATTGTGGCAGTATTCCAAGTCAGCGCATGCGGTGGAAAATGTCTGGAGTTTGCAAACAGATTTTCTTTGTATTCGTTATTTCAGGTAACTGCTTTAAGATGCATAAAATAGTTACATTGTAGCTTACGTTCTATAAGCCAATATTACCTTTAAAGAAATCGATTTATTGTGCCTTCAGATCCTTGTTCATTCCAAAAAGACATTTCTCAGAGCAGACGACAACAAAAACGTCGACGTAAAATGGTTATAATTTCACCTTATATATCATTTCCGCCTACAAGTACACTGGCACTGTATATTATCATTGTGCCTACTCTGCTAGTTTGTAGTTCTAAATGAACTTGTCACATTAAAAACAGCTATAAGAGAAAATTTATATACCACAGCTTTTCTTCGTTGTGAAATCGAAAGTGAGTTTTTTTTTAAAATATATATATATATAAGTGACAGTAAACGCTTTCTCAGGTCCATATATACCACACTTCATTTCAAATAGACACGTTCAATGTCTTTTTATCTTATATCTTATAACAATATGATTTGAATTTGCGCTAGAAAGAACTTGTCTTTAGCTCGATCGGTTGAGCGTCAAATTAGAAAGACAGGGGTCCCAGGTTCGAATCTCAGCGGAGGCATTGAAATAAATGATGTCTTCTGTTACAATAACGTTCATGTAGGAATAATGCTTAGCGCTATTTTCCTAGGTATCGCTGTAACCCCTGGAAACTCGGGGTCAAGATATTTTCCCTGAAGAGGCAGTATGCAACCCGGTAAAATGTTAATCGCGATATATTTCGATCGGTTGGGCGTCTGGTTATGAAGTCAAGGTTCGAACCCAAGCAGAAGCGATGGGATAAATAATGACTTCACCTACACATACACTTTTTTAATTTATCTTTTTAATTTCAACCTCATACAGCACGTTTTGATTTAAACCGAATAATCTATCGTAAAATCATACACTATTCCATTGTATGTTATAGTATCAGACATCGTATGAGTGTAAAATTTATCAAGAGTTGTCTCGCTTGTATTGTTAGTAATCGTTCCGAAGAACGCTTCTCCACGATTTCATAGTTTCGTCATTTTATAAGAGAAAATAGTTATATATACATAAACGCCGATATAATATATATATAATTCTTCACAGAAAAAATATTTTTAACACATCAACAACTTAGAAATCAGGTTTATTAAACTGCGCGTGTTATATACCCTCTAAAACGTCGACAATATATTACCGTCTATGTGTGATTAATTAAGCTTGAAGTCAATTCCACCAAGTATGTATAAAACTGTTTTAAGTCTACTTTGTTTTCAAGGTCAACGCTGTCTTATCCTTCAGCTATATCTCACTAGAAGTATATTTTGTGGACGGTTAACACCGGAAATTGTGACGCAGTTTTCTTTGTCATTCCAGGTGTGATATGTCTGCGAGTGCACGTGCGAGTGGCCGATGATGACAATAGCAATGTGGAGGAGTACGACCAAGACTACCACTTGTTCAACAGCTGAGTATCACAATAAGATTAGTTATAGAGGTTACCAAACCGGTGCTTGTTGTATATAATACTTCTTTCACTCGAGTTTCTTATTGCAAAAATTGACTGAAGTGAATGTTTTTGAATTTCTTTTTTACTTTTTCAATTTTGCAAAACACCAAACTAAAGAAAAAAAATGGTCATAAGGAAGATCAATGAACACAGTCCGGTAATGGTTACAGACAGGTCGGTAAACGCAGTGCGGTAATGGTTATAAGGAAGATCAATGAACGCAGTACGGTAATGGTTATAAGGAAGATCAATAAACGCAGTACGGTAATGGTTATAAGGAAGATCAATGAACGCTGTACGGTATGGTTATATGGAAGATCAATGAACGTAGTATGATAATGGTTTCAAGGAAGATCAATGAACGCTGTACGGTAATGGTTATTAGGAAGATCAATGAACGCAGTCCGGTAATGGTTATAAGGAAGATCAATGAACGCAGTACGGTAATGGTTATAAGGAAGATTAATGAACGCAGTCCGGTAATGGTTATAAGGAAGATCAATGAACGCAGTCCGGTAATGGTTATAAGGAAGATTAATGAACGCAGTCCGGTAATGGTTATAAGGAAGATCAATGAACGCTGTACGGTATGGTTATATGGAAGATCAATGAACGTAGTATGATAATGGTTTCAAGGAAGATCAATGAACGCTGTACGGTAATGGTTATTAGGAAGATCAATGAACGCAGTCCGGTAATGGTTATAAGGAAGATCAATGAACGCTGTACGGTAATGAAAAAATAAGATCAATGAATGCAGCATGATACTGGTAAGGAAATATGAATGGACGCACTACGGTAAACAAAACAAAAACAAAACAAAAAGAAAAAAAAAAAAAAAGAAGAAAAGAAAAACCTAATAAAAACATCAGAGTAAAGAGTGCTATTGATCGTAAAAAAGTACTGAAGAAATCTCATAAGTGCTTCACGTTTGTCGCCTCAAACGATCATTTATCCATTACATGATTCGTTTTCATCACTGGTTACGGTTTTCATCACTGGTTACGTTTATATGTAAAATAATGAATTTTATTCCTATATGGAAAGGGATTGATTTTATGTAAACTGAAGTAGTATTTACATGATTTTACAACAAAGTGCATGAAAGTATCATGTGCTTCTCGTGAAACACATGGCGGTTTAAAGGTCTACATTAGCTCAAATGATCTGTCAGATAAACGATATAATTGATGTTGGTGACCAGGAATGATGACGATGCCCTTGGAGCCATGAAGTCGGCTAGACATTATCTAGTAGACCGTCCGAGGAAATGGCTTGCACCCGATGTATATGGCCACATTTCGTTTTCACTTGGGAACTTTCAGACGAACATGATTACATAATTAACTATATTTGAAATCTACATGAACAATTTCTAACAAAAACTACACAAGTATCAGTGTAAGTCGACATGTACGATTTATTCTCATTCGTAGCTATCACCCTTAATTGATTGCGGACTGATCAACTAATTTCTCAGTATATTTTTCAATAAGTGCATGTAAACACTTGGGAGTAGTTTTATTCTGCTATTTAAATATTGATTTTTTTTCTGGTGTCTATTTCAATGGGATTTTGATAAGTGTTGTCAATTTCCCTAAGGCTCCTGCATTCCGCTTGTCTGTGATGCTATGAACAAAGTTTGTTTATATTTTATGTGACCAATTTAGGATTAACTTCAAAGATAATTATTTTTCGTTCATTCTGTGACCTAAAAACAAATCGACAAAACGTGTCAATCGTTTGAATGACAATTCACAAAACCGAACACATTTTATGCGGCGCCATTTGCAAATGATTCAATATTTTGTCATTAAGCTTGAAACCTATAATTGAAATAAGATATGGCTGTTTACGTCTCGCATGTATTTATGTATGCATTTTCTCTACACTAGGTTTGGATCCGGAAGATCCACCATTTCAAGTTCCGAAAGACACAACACCAGTTCGGAAGGTCACTCATCACAAATTTTCTGTCGACGAACATTTAAGGAAAAAAAGAGACAATACAGCTGACATGGGAGGATTTAGTAATTACTATTTTCTAATTCTTAAAAAAAGGTTTTGTTAGGTTCAAAATGATAATCATCGTAATCTGACTTGATGTTTTCCTTTCTGAACTGTAATATAGTAAGACACTTTATGTTACATAGATCAAATAGAACGTGGGCGTTGTAGTGTGAATTTGATGCCTCATGAAGAAACATCTATGCCTGCCTCATAGTGTTTTATCTTGCCCCATCTAGTCTAAAATGTTGATTTCTTGATGTTTCTTGAACTCAAAATGAGTCAAGCACATTGCCTCTCGTGTTTGCCCATCGATTCAATGGTGTAACTTGATTTTTTTACTCACCATCAACTCATTTACAATATTTCTCATTTTACATGCTCTGATGGTATAATATTGCTTTTAGCCCGAAGTTTGAAAGGTGTGTAATAACAATTCCCCTTGATATCTATTCGTTGTTTGTGTACATTGTAAGATATTTTGATAATTTATGACGTTGTAGTCCGTATTTTGCGTACATGATTGAATGACAGCAAGCCACCAATTGAATCTGTAAATATATATATATATATATAAATGTTCCAATAAGCACGCCGCAAGGTGGCGTGTTGTCATCGACCCCAATTATTATCAAATGGGCGGAGCTAGACGTTTTTCTTCTTCATCGAGAAATGAAAAAAATCGTCGAATCAGAAAGCTGCCTTTTACAAACATAGAAAAATCAATTATTGTTGTATGATTCCGTATAAACTCACCTACGTTTTCTCTCATTATTGCATGTTCATTTTCTTAAAAACATCAAAAGACGTTAATATGTATTTGCCTAATTGTGTTTTGACATCATGGAACTGTCACAAACCAATAGAACTGTACTTCATCTGCTTGTAAACAGTGTTGCCTGGTAGCATTAGAAGAAAACGATTAATTAAAAGCTAATGCTGCGAGATTTTATCTTTTTATGAATAGTTGGTATTAGTGGCGTCATTTTATAGCTATATGTTGCATCTTTGATATTACAGAGCGGTTGCCTCGTACTGAGTGTGGACCTTGGTTTAAGAGATTGCTTTCATACACTAAAGGAAGGCCGCTGCATCTGTCCAAGGTGATCGCCGTCAATGATAGCATTGAAATCCCCTGTTATTACTGGTGAGACGATACAGATGAAGTGTATTGATACCACAGAAACAGTTCGTATACATAAATGGTATCGGATTGACCATTTAAGTATTATCATCTGTCACAGAATTTTAATTTTGATGTTACACAAACTTTAAATGGCTAACTGGCTGCCTGGATATAAAATTTGACGTGAATTAAACAATGTTATAGAAATGATACCAAAATCATGAATAATGACGTGATGCCTTAACTAAAGGGCTTAACTCAAGCTCGAAAAAGTTGGAAGCGAACAACGGAGGTAGATAGTTGAAACAAAAAAATATTTATTATATGAAACACCAATCGCATATAACTAGAGACACAGATGTGGAACTGATGAATAATATAGGAACAAGGTAAAAGTGAATCAATAAAAATAGCAATAGATATGGAGCACTTAGACCCTTAAACTGAAAGAAGTCATAAAAAGACAATAATAAAACAAACATAAACAAAAACACAAAAAAACAAAACAAAATTCTTAATCAACATATTATTCTTGAATACGTACGAGGTACATAAGTATTTCTTGTAGCAAGAAAACTATTGATCAACCCAATTTGTTTATTTATGCAGCGGAGATCCCGCTAGTTACCGACCACCTCACAGAGCTAAACCTTATTGGATGTGGAGGACTCTTGGGCGGAATACGACAGAAGATGGGTTATGGACATATAGTTCTGTTCTCAGAGGGTTTCGACGTCACGATAAAGAGTTCGAGAGTAGAGTGAACATAACATCCAACGATTCTCTCATCATCAGGAATATACAGGAGAGTAAGTTATTCAAAATATATAGTTTTTGTAGATTGCAACGAAATAAATGACCAGACATTTGCTATCATACTGGTTAGAGAGAGAGAGAGAGAGAGAGAGAGAGAGAGAGAGAGAGAGAGAGAGAGAGAGAGACAGAGAGGAGGAGGAGGAGGAGGAGGAGGAGTGGGGTGGGGGAGCATGTGACATTATAACAATATGTTTCTTTTTTTAAAGCATGTCACAGCAATGTCACCAACTGATCCACACAAATTTCATTTTGTGCTACTTCTCCCTTACAGAGGATTCGGGGATGTATTTTTGCGCTCGCCAGGTTGGAACTTTAACGATGTGGACGTTCACGGAAGATGTTGTAAACTGGTTTCTTCGGCAATCAGACCAGAAGTATTTAAGACTATTTTTTCACATCGACGGTAAGGATGAACTTGCGATCCTTCAGTACTTTTTATTTTGGTAATTAAAACTGTATAGCGCATCCAATCATGTAATCCGTCTGTGCTAGAATGTGAAACATCTATTGTTTTCTAGCGTGTTTATCATGTACAATGTACCTACTATTTAATGCTATAGGCAAACTGGGAACTGCCAGGATCCCGAACTCTGACTAGTACAATTAAATATACTTCGTTACTTGCAGTTCCCGAACTTCAGCTGTATAATCTACATTTTGGTATGTTTGCCTGCAGTAATTTGTTGTTTATACCATTGTAACTACTATAAACGTCCTAAAGAAGACAGGTTGACTGCAGTGACGACGTCAAGAAGGTCACTAGGGTAGTGGCATTTACAGTGTAAGGGCAGGTTGATGAAAATTATTGGAAAGTTTTACGGACGTCATGGTGATCTAATTGACAAATATTCTGCTCTTTCATATATCTTTGCTTTCATTTTTGGAAGGGTTGTGATAAATTGCGATAATTTCTTCCAAGCCAACTTAAAATTGAAAAGATTTCTGTTGACTGGTCTAGTAAGATATGTTTATAGAGCTAGTCCTTAAAGGACACGGTTTGTATACAAGGAAATCTGAACGATTGTATCACTTTTGAGAAATTATATTTAGTTTTCAAAGGATCTAAGTAAATGTTTAGATATGTTTTGGTTTGAAAAATGACATCGTGACTGTTACTCATCGCTAATCAAATGCTTTCTGAATGTAATGATAGTTGATAAAATTGTAATTGACCTACTATGAAATCCCCCGAAGATTTGCCAGAATATCAATGATACCGGCAGGGATTATATTAAAAAATATGATTTTTTTATTTATATTTACATTATCAACATCGTTTTGAGAAATAGTAATTAGATTCTTTAGCGTGGAAATCCTCTGTTATATGATGCCGTTTATCCAGTTAATGCAACAGTCAAAACATGGAAGGCCTGTCAAAAGCATAGTTACATCACAATACAGCAAGGCTGCCTGAAATTATAGTCTCATCATTACATTGACCATTTTGTACTAAATGGGACGGCGATCGACAAATGTAAACACATTATATATATGAAATTTATCACGTACAGGAAATGTTTTAGTGATAGACAGTGATTTGGATATCCCCACAAGATATCACATTTGCAAAATATTGAAAATTTTACGACATAGTAACAACAAAAGATTTTCCCCTAAAGTTCTGTTGGCTTAGCAAGCACCAATCTTTCCGCATGTGCTACCTGTGGTATTTCCATTGTCTATTAAATTTATGTGAATCGATTTGTAGAGATTAATATCTACAAAGGATGAATGTTGAAGCTCATAGAAACTGACATTTTCCATGAACTGAAATATCTTATTTATAGATGTGCAGTTACATAGACACCAAATGTTATTCGATATATTCTTGTGTATTTCCAAAATTGCTTTTAAACGCATTTTTCTTTAGTTTATTTTCGTATTTTCTGCTAGCTTTCATAACAAGCCATTTTCAGTTGGTAGTATTTCTTTCAGTAGTGATTTTCATACTAGCTGACCACATGCATTTTTCTGTTCCATGGTTCCTAATAGAAGTACCGCAATACATAGTTTTATCTTCAAAAAATTTATGGTATAAAATTGTTACACTTCAGAACAAGTAAACAAATCTAGGTATCACAAATGGTTCTTTACTGTAACTCAACCAATGAAACCGGAGATCAGAGAATTCAAGAAAAGGGTCTGCAGAATCGAGAGCATTCTTTCATGTCCTTTTTAAGGGGACACTGAAGAGATCAAAATAGATCTGATGTCACCATGGCAGCTCTTGTTTCTCCCGGCACCCGTCCTGACATTGTTTTTGGTTGTTACGAGGACGTTAAAATGTTTACCGGTATTTGTGGTAGATGTCAACTTTATTATTTATAGAAAATCAAAAATGCTAATCTGATGAATCCATGTCAAGTATGAAGTGAACTCCGATAATGCTTTACAATGAAGAGATTCTCAGTGGAAATACCCGTGGTGGAGGTGTGCTTCAGGGATTAACGGTTAATGACAAGGTTGCTTTATATATAGCAAATGGAAAATCATAGAATCGAGGGCATCCGGTTTATGTTTACATCAGTAAAACACATCTTCTCGAAGAAAAGACCGGCATACTAACAGGATCATAATTCAAACAAATATTCGATAGAAATAGGGCAAAACATAAACAATAGAATGATTTACACGGAAAATTCGAATGAAGATCCATGAGAATAAGGCTAAGTATTCCGTAAGGATAAGCGACTTCTAATTCATCGACGACAGCCACCATGTAAGTCTCGGTTAATTCATGTAACTAGTGTCTCGTTCCTAAATGAGAATAAAGTAAACAACAACAGAACCAACAGGTATAATAGCGACCATCAAAACGTTCAGCTTCATATTGCGCTCAAAAAAGGCAATATTTCTCGATGAGATGATTTTGACGATCGTGATGCAGGAATATTGCTGTCCATAAAGGATGTTTTCACAATTGGGGAATTGAAACCATCACGCTTATCATACAGCTTGGTGGAAAGCTTTCCGTGCTGGTTCCGTAATAGGAAAAATCGAGGCGAACGGCATAATCTCTATCGTGTTCTTAAGTCTTACTCTGACTTATCATTTATGTCAAAGACTCAGAATGATAAAATATGTTTAAGATCGTTAACTGGAACTACTCATAACTTAGAGAAAGTAGTCTATTGTGTGTGTTTTTATATCGTTGCATTCATTTACATGTTTTTTTTTTTTTGTTTATTTTTAATCCACCAGTATAAAAATCTCAATTCTATACAGTGTCGTAGGATGAAATGGAATTTATAATCTATAATGTATAATTTATCAACAGTGCTAAGGCCCAGGGACATCCCGATCAGACAAGGTAACGTATCTGAAAGAATAAACATCTTTCAATTAACAACATATGTCTTCATCGACAAAAACAGTACTACATCATACAACTCTATGAAAACGTCAAAATATATATCCTTTCATTTTCTACATCTATAAATTCATGATTTTGTTTTCTTTTACATACTTTTTATGTATATTTATGCAAACCGCAAATTTGCTTAAAATAAAGCGATGCAAGAACATTTCCGTTAACCACAGATAAGGTTTCTTACTACGCTAAAAATGGTATTATATGGATTATAATTTCAGTTTCGACAACCGACAAGGCATTTCCCACCCCCGCACCAACGATTAAGGACTGTAAGTTATAGAATATTGTTTTAGAATAGAAAGTTGATCCGATCCAGTTTCTACTTTTGTCCTGTCTGTCCGACAAGGTAACCGTTACATTCTCCATGATTTGTTTACAAGATGTCCATTAAAATTAAGTTTTTTCTATTTACCAACAAATTCTAAATTTTTATGAATATAACTATTCTCTGTCTTGCCAACACGTTTAAAACTCAGCTGAAAGCACACAGCGGCCTTTTACGAATCTTGGTCATGGAATGAACGCCATAATATGATAGTGTTCATGTGACACGAGACAAGCGTTTTTGCTGATTTCAATCTTTCTGGTCAGAGTCTCGTTAAAATCACAAAATCCAACTCTCTTACAATAATATGACCACGGTAATTACGAAAAGTCTTGATGTATTGTCGTAGGATCCAGTTCTTCAGACTAAACGACATCAGTTAGAAGCTTCCTTGTGACATTTCATTGGCTACATTGTCATCTTTATCAGGTAAATGACCAGTGTGAAATATACCTGTAATTGCATTAAGGAATACATTTTTTATGAAAGAGTAATGAACACAAACAATTTTCCGGCTGTATGATCTTACGTGTGAAATCAGAACGTCGAATCCTCAGAAGCTCTGTTAGAATGTATTATCATAGACCATGTGCAACATAGTCCCTGCAATTGTTGCCAATCCGTATAGCGAACATTTAGAAAAAGAAAATGTAAGTTCCACCATCTAAGAATGCAAGTCTGAACTGTGGAAACGATAGTCAAAACAAGGGTCACACAAGGGTTTGACTGTGTACTTTATACAACGGGAAAACCAACTACACCGAATTCACGTGCGATGAAGAAACCAATGGCTTTCGACTCTTTCTTGACACTATTCTTGTAATGCATGAATGCGTATACAGGATCGGGTGCAAAACTGCAACGTATCGATGAGTCGAAGGAACTGCAGGAAGATTTGGGACCCATTCAGTAAACATAAAAAAGACAAGAAACTACAAGAAATAAGGAAATTCACCGGAATAATGCGATAAAAATACTAGTCTGAGATCAACCCAATGACACATACAGAACATGTAATTTAGCAAATCCTATTGACTGGGACTACTCTGAAATAAGAGATAGGGAAAAGAACCTCCTCCGGATATGTCGCAGTTGTTCGGTAATATTCCCGCACAACTATGACCAATAATGAATAAAGCATAGTCGAATAGACTGTCATAGTGCATTGTTACCACCTAATGTACAAATCAATGATCACTTAATCGATATGATTGAACTATAATTGTATCGTCCTGTCGTACCCTAGGTATACATAACATCAAACTACAACCGAAAAATCGTGCAATTTCATTACCCATTTGCACACTGTTATACATCACATATACGCTTCACACTGGTCATTTGTATGATGAAGGTGGCATTGTAATGATAAAACGTGACGCTTCAGTTTTCGAACTGTGTAAGAGGGAATGAATGGGGATATTACAGTAATTACACGTGTATATAAGTATGGATATCCGTCATGCAGAACATGGTGGCATTCCATGCATTTGTTCGTCGATACTTCTGCTGTTGTATATGCGCGCTACATGGTGGGGATAGCGCGGACTACAGGTCTTCTGTGTGCCGAGAAACATGGTATACTGCGGTCTATAGGTCATCTGTGTGCCGAGGGAGATGGGATACCGCGGTGTATAGGTCGTCTATGTGCCGGGGGAGGAGGGATACCGCGGACAAAAGGTCGTCTATGTGCCGAAAGAGGCGGAATACCGTGAAATTAAGGCCGTGTATGTGCCGAGAGAGGCGGGATACCGCAGACTATAGGTTGTCTGTGTTCCGAGGGAGGCAGGATACCGCGGACTATAGGTTGTCTGTGTTCCGAGGGAGGTGGGACACCGCGGACTATAGGTCGTCTGTGTCCCGAGGGAAGCGGGATACCGCGGATTATAGGTCGTCTGTGTGCAGAGAGAGCCGTGAGTTGGTCTTAATCAGAAATATCCGAGATGATCAATCAAAACATTGAAGTTTACTTTTCAGCGTGATCCTCTTTGTAGTTCACTAACTGGTTCGTGTATTTCACCATTTTTCCAGATCGCGCAAACCTGGCATTGTTTACATACTGGGGGGAATGGTCAACATGCAGTGTATGTGGTGAAGAAGGGGAACGCTGGCGGACCGGTAAGTAACGCTAAGTTGCTGTTCAGATGACAAAAGGTAGTATTTGTGGCGAGGAAGTAGAGTGGTCCTGTAAGACAGGAGTGATAATTACGTGGCGTAAAAACAGTCTGTGACAAACTATCGTATGAAGACTTTGCAGAGAATGAAGTCAAACATCGATATGCCTATACCGGAAGTAGTGTTTGTGAAGAGAAAAGTGTTTCGATTTGTATTTTTATAATATTATTGCAAACTTTCTCGATGAAGATAATTTCAACGGGTGGAAAAAACGCGATCTATTGCTTTATTAAAATAGAATCATCAGTTTCATGTTTCAGCAACCATACTGATGGTATTTTGTTTTTAAATGTTTGTGTAATCAGGTTATAACCGATGTTGTATGTTGTGTTGCTGTTGTAGGAATATGCTGGGCTAGGATGATTAAGGATAAATACATGGAGCCAGCCGTTTTCTACCATGCTTTGCTTTCGTCCAGACGGGGTATGCCCTGCCGATCGACACTGTTTAAATACTTTAGGGGATGGAGACTTCCTGATAGACCAGACGAGAAAATGGTTCAAGCATGTACCATTCCTTGCGTCAACAGTATGTCTATAATATACAAATCAGTTTTAAGATTGGTATTGTTATCATTTCTAATTTTTATAACATGGCAATTTTTAACTTTTGGAACTGAAGTACAAATTCTGTAAACTCAAGTAAACCTCTGACTACATGATCATCAAGATATTTTCTTAGTCACGTGTTTTGCCCTGCTATCTAAAATATATTGAAGAGGGTGTTGTTGGCATGTTTGTTGAATTAGGTTGACATAACAATTAACATACCTGTTTACCATTGACATTCTTTTCCAGTCTAACAGTCAAAGACGTTTATATGCAAGTAAAAGCCAATTAATACACATGGTAGTAAAATAGAGTTCGATATCACGGTATGAATGCTTATTATTTCATACTGATAACATCCAATCTTTCAGGCAGATATTTTACTACCATCATATACTTGGAACCCTGAAAACGATATTTTCACAATATTCCGTCATCATGTTCCCAATTGGAATATTTTATGGAATACATATGAAGCGGATAACATTTTAGTGCATAAACTTTATCAAAGAGGCCTTTTTGTTCCTGCAATCTTACAGATGTCTGCCATAATGTAATTACAGTCCTGGATCATCGGAAACAGACCAACTTTGCAAAATTTGACAACTAACAAGAAGGTCTAGTAATGGTAGTCCTTGGTATAGTAATCTGATGTGTTTGTTTTCGTCTGCTGTTTAGTTCAATATTTTGTGCTGTTTATTCAGTTGTCTGAAATTTCAGGAGTAATGTTAACTCATGATTCGTTTGTGATCGTAAACCTAGAATTTCTATGATGCGAGAATCTTCACTTCTAATGTTTCAGTTTGGAGAAAACTTAAGTAATTTTCGCTGAATTTTCTAAACAGTTTTTATTATGAAGAAATAAAATCTTGTAAAGAAATGAGTTCTTAATCTTAAATCTTACTTTGAAAGATGTACTGTTTAACAGGCAAATATCGCCCTACATATACATTTTATATTTCTTTCATTTCAAAGGTTAACAAAGTGTCACTAAGCGTTGATTTGAAAGTTCATTTTTGCTTCGATATAAAGTAATTTATTCAGGAATCCGTAGTGCTTAATATAGAACAAAAGAATTACGAGAATACCTTGTTTTTTTTTCATAACTTAAACTTAATCACGACCTTCCTGTGAATTAATAGCAGCGCAAAACACTAGATTTTCGAATCCATTTTACTAGCATGCTGTGGCGTCAATTGCTTTTTAATTCCGCTATTTTTAGGAAAAACGAGGAAACGAGTAATTAACAGCATGACGATATCAATGACGTTATGTAATGTTTTTCAAAAAAGGATTCTCTGGAGTGATGCAACTTTCCTTAACTTGATGTGATGTTCGTCATGTTGTCACCCATAACACCTAATAAAAAGCCGGTTTCAGAGTGAATGACTTCAGTGCTCGAAGTTTCAAAATAGTCATTATTCAAAGATGAATATTTTTGATTTTTTTTCTCGTGTTTTAAAAGCCTTGAATTGATATCACCAGACAAAGTAGTGCTCCTAGCCTATCCCAGTTAAGTACATGTGTACGTGTTTTTCCCAGCAATCAATGACTTGGATTAGTTTCATAATTAATTCTTATTTGTATAAGAGCATCGTAATAATATTTTATGATAGCAAAATTAATATTTGAATTGTATCATTTTACCTTTTTCATTAGCTCATTGTCCTTGAAGTCTGGGGTGTTTAAGAGTTCTTATACAATTTTTGTTTAGATACTCTGACCCAGCGGATGACCATCAACCTGGACAAAGCTAGATACAAAGATTTAGCTAAAGGTAAATATTTTTGTTCAATGTGTCATCAGTGTGTGCTATTTGTTAGTAATCACGAATGATTAGTCGTGTTTACAATTTGATCTTGATTAATTTGTTCTCTGATTGTTAATGAAGAAATGAAATATACAAATGTACTTAACGTTGTTCTAAAATTATCAGATATATGAAAGTTACTAAATATATATAATATTGAATTATGTGATTACTGACGGGTCCTATGACGCAGCTGTTGTATGGTGTAACATCACTGACAGCTACTAGGACGCAGCTGTTGTATGGTGTAACATCACTGACAGCTACTAGGACGCACCTGTTGTATGGTGTAACATCACTGACAGCTACTAGGACGCACCAGTTGTATGGTGTAACATCACTGACAGCTACTAGGACGCACCTGTTGTATGGTGTAACATCACTGACAGCTACTAGGACGCACCAGTTGTATGGTGTAACATCACTGACAGCTACTAGGACGCACCAGTTGTATGGTGTAACATCACTGACAGCTACTAGGACGCACCAGTTGTATGGTGTAACATCACTGACAGCTACTAGGACGCACCAGTTTAATTCAGTGTGTTATACTCCTGTAAACTATATATTGTATGTTGCATTTCATTTGTGTGTCTTTTGTAAAATCTTTAACTTGTGAACGGACAAACCGGACGGATACACTTAGTTTTGATAAAAGGGTTACCAGTGTTAAGCATATAATTTTCTTAATTGAAAATGTAACATTTAAATAAAAATGAAATGAATATGCACAAATCTAAAATTTCGGACATTATCTAATGAACAATTTAAATTTGAAGTTGAAAATTTGACTTTTAGTATAAATGTATTGCGCCATAGTCTTGTGTCGTTTATGATAAACTGCTAAAAGTGTTTATACTGAATGAACACACATTTCACACGTTTTTCTGGGTTTTTTTTCGGGATTTAGTGTACATTCAACATGGACATTTTTTCACCTTCACTTTTACATTGAAAAATAACATCTGGTTTTAGAGCACTGTGCAAATTTAACATTTTTATAGGTAGCTTAAGACAGTATTTTCAATGAAGCGTTTGGAAACTTGATGGCGTCTAATAGTACAGCAGACTTTTGAAAAATACTGCAATTTGTGGTAAAAGCATGAAATTTGGTTAGAGAATATACCAGGGTCTCTTCAGCAAATATAGATATGGAGACATCGCGAAATACAAGTACTTCCGGTTTAATGAATCCTGGAATTCGGAGGTATAAGAAGTAAACACAACAAACATTTGAATGATATTGTAACTGACTTCAGTTAATCATGAAGTTTATTTATCTATAACAAACAGCTAAACATTCAACATTATGTTCTATTGTACGATAGAAGTTACTTCCGGTTCAAATTTGGACTTCCGGTTTAATTAAAAAAGTAGTGTGTAACTTTGGGTTTCTTTGTTTGATATACATTTTTCAAGTTACACTGGAAGCATAGTAAATGCAGAATGCAAAAAATATAATATCTCAGGGTTCCATTACTTACTTCCGGTTGTATCAAAACATAAAACTACATAAAAAAAGACTATGCATGTATATCCATAACACAAATTCTAAATATTTCTTTTTCTTTCAAAGTTAATGTTTTTCACTAACTTCCGGTTACTGCTTATTACAATCACCATTGCAACTGCAGAGAGCTGTACATGGGAGTGCAGACTTTACACATTTACATGCTCCCCTACATCCCTTTTTGCACCCACAGTGTATCAGTTCTTTGCACGATGAAGAAGCTTCTGGTAACGATGTCCAGAATGGTTGCCATGATCCGATGGGAGTGCGTACCCACCCAAACTCTTCAGGCTTGAGCTGTTGAGGTCTCGGATCCATTGAATTTCCCCATATGATACTCTGAAGTGTCGCTCGTTTCGTATGTTGCAAGAGAGCATCTTTCGTCGGGGGGATCAATTCAATACTCCTACCTTTGCTTGAAAACAACGTCTTCCTACATTTATTGACATCTGTCTCCTGACTGGCGCGATCATACATGCAAATCACAAATCGTTCTAATAGTGGCATAAAGTCTCCAAAACGTACTGACCTCGGATACTTCATCATTATGTCAAATGCATGTGTCACCTCTTTGTCCACCATCCATGTATCATACGCAGTTTTCTTCCCTTTTCCACCGAATGATGATACATTATCGCATCCTGTGAATGCGTGGAATGCAGGCAGTGTACGGCATTTTTCAGGACCTAGCGCTCTTGACAAATCATGAACCGGAAAATACCGCAGGTTTTTCCCCGTACCAAACAAAATCCACAATTCACAAAGCTGAAGTGCTTGAATGGCGTGCAAAGCCAAAACAAGAACATCTGTATCGACTGTTCGAATCAGTGCTTTCTTCGTGCCTCTTTCGACAGCATCCCTTAAGTGCACCATCATTCTAGTGTCTGCTTCCTCGTGATAACATGGCTCAATGGAAGAAGTCTCTGCACGGACAGGGTTGGATAGCACGCCGTTTTTCAGGGTAGTCACGATTTCTTTTCCTTCTGCGACAGGTATTTCCATGAGTTTAAATGACAAAAACTCAAATAATTCTGACTTGTTATCATCGACCCTCAGAAAACAGGGCCAATTCTTAGGAATATTTGTGCGACTGTCAACGCGTCTCCTAATACCAGTGCCGCGTTTGCTTCTAGTAGAGATCTTGAGGCTGTCACTACGATAAACATCCCACACAACATCTACTCTGTCAGACTTCTGAAGATATGTATCCACGTATGGGTAAAATATGTTTGCTGCGTAATCTTCAAAAGTGTTGGCAATCCCCGGTCGTAGCATATTGACTACCGCTGCTCCATCCAAGATTGTGGTATTTATCCCAGTGGGTGATTCATCTGTTGTAATAGCTAGAGGCTCTATGCACTTTGTTACCAACTCTGATTTGGCACACTGTCGGATATCACCATTTATGCTGAGTGAGGGAGGATAAGTCTGGTTTTCATGGGCAAAAAACTCATCCAGGTCACTTCCTCTCGTTTGGCAGGATATGTACAATCTTGAAAACAAGGAACAGTCATTTTTCAGGGCCGAAATACGACTCCTCTCTTTAGAAAATGATTGTTGTCGTGGAGTTCGCATTAGCGGAAACGAGTTTCGCTTGATTGGATCAAACACAGAGACTTTCCTGTCGATCAGTCGCTCCTGAATATATTGTTTGTACTGTTTTATACCAACATCCTGTATTTTACCAACTGTGTCTTTCACAGATGGAGGCGCTATGTCTTTGGTATCAAGTACAAGTATATCTTTACTATCCTCCTCAAAAGGATTGCCGTGTTCATCCATCACCTCAACAAGAGAATGAACATCATGTACAAAGGCCTTTTGGAAACTCTGTTTATGATCATGGTGTGAGTAGTCATCCGACTTGTCCCTAAGTGATTCAACATTAGATTCAAAATCTTTTACCATCTGAGAAATTTCTGGTCCGGCCACCATCCATCTACGTAAAGCAACGGGACTTTCTAACAGTCCAACGGCGCCTCCTTCAGATTTTATTAGGGCATTGTTTTGCTCGTGTGCATGATCGATGGCTATGCCCGAAAACCGTCGGTTAGTCTTGTGTAAAACAAAGTTCCCAGAACGAAATTCGTTTTCAATGTCCGGATTCGTTTCACCAAGAGTTATCATGTCTCTTACATGAACAGGGAGCCATCGAGCATAATGGTAATGGTCTAGGACAAAGAACCACGGTGTTAGCTTGGTCAGGGTGTCAATGTAGAGCTGGAAGTCGCCTGTACGAATCGACTTTACAAATAGCAAGACGGTCATTTCAAGTTGGAAAGTAATCAACCAATACTGGAAGTGTGGTCGCTCAGCAGCCATCATTTGGCACCATTCGTGTAGATTGTAGGGATTTTCCTCTAGTGTGGTGACATAATCGTCGAATGCAGCCTTCATCAATTTATACAGAGCACATGCAGTCACCTGATGAGATCGTCTTGTCTTAGTTACATGAGATGCTTTTAACAGGCCATCTGCTGTACCCGAAGAGACTACTTGTGCTTGGGACAGAACGGATGTCCATCCGCTACCTTCTAACCAATCACCCAGTAACTTGAACAGGGCCATTTCGATGTGAAGACCACCAAACATTATAATGAAGTGTTTCTCACCAAAAGCGTCAGGCCAGTTCCACTGAATCTGTTTAGCAACGGAGTAAAGTGGTTGGTCCATGGCTATAACAGGTGTTTGTCCGGGATTTAATGTATCCACACATTTTTTTATCACTGTCATGGAATGCTTGATCATAGCAACTGATTTTACTTGTTCGTCAAATAAAGGAAGAAGGGCTGACAAAGCAGGAGTAATACAAGTTTGGGTCTCCTTCGATGCATGGAATGCTCCCCATGATACTGCTGATGACTTTCCAATATCATCTTCTCTCGTTTGTTCTACCTCCTGAAGCCACCTGAAATATTGGAAAACGACTATTACAATTACAGTTATTTCAAATGATGTGTCACATATTAATTTCATCACATTTGCAATCTTCTTCGTGTTTCATATATCTAACTAATGCAAAGATTACCTATATTCTTCTTGAAGGGCTTGGGTAATATCAGAAATATCTGATGTCAAACCCTCTCGAACAGGAACAACTGGAAATTTGTCCTTAAGAATAGCAGGCGGAACATTGCTGTATGATTCTGGCAGACTGGAGGTTATGCGTTTAGAGGAGCTGCTTTCCAAATCAAAAGCCCTGTTGCTTCCATGTCTCGTTTCTGTTGTGTGCTGAAAGACTGAAATCCCCGTTCCGTGAAATGAATCCTTTGTCGTGGTTGCACTTGGGTTATGGTCTATATTGTCAACCGCTGCAGTGGTAAATAAATCAGCTTTAAGTCTTGGAGGACAAATCATGCCAATACTCTGATAATGTTCACACAAAGAGTTTGTAATCTTGGTGGAAATAGAAAGCACTCGATCATAGGAAATGCATATCCCGAGTTGGAATAGCCTGTCAATAAGAGTACGACTGCGTGTTTGGCAATGTATCATCAGACCAACGTATGTGGGTAATGGAGTTTCGCGAACAGTGCCGTGATAGTGCTCTGTGTTTGCACCAGATTTGAAGGTATTGAACATCAGTAATTGTGACATTGACAATGATGGTTGGGAGAAAGTCTCAGATTCCATAGTTGGTCCGTGCAAGAGCATGCTAATGAAAGTCAGCAAAATCTTTGGGACTGAATTTTCTTGGCAGTTTGGACTGAAGTCAGTAGATGATGACGTGTTAAGAATATCCCTCCGGATTAATTTAGCAGCAGCAAATATGGTCATATAGTTTGCATCATAGTCTTCACTGCACGCCTTATTTAGAGCCCGTCCAATGTCATCTTTGAAGGCCAATAAGTTGTCTCGTCCTTCCTTGTGGACTTCAATGTCAGGAAAATGATCCAAAATTCTATTCATAAGCCTGGTACTGTGGACACCGTGCCTATGCTTGACACCGAGTAGGTTAATTCTGTCCATATACTTTTTTGAAATGTCGGACATTTTAAACACAGGTGCGACGTTTTCCTCATTTCTGAAACTGTCGATAAAGCTTATAGTTTCGGCCAATGCAATACCGTGAATGATACTCTCCTCCTTCCTCTTTGCGGAGTCGTCATCGGCTGGTAAACGTGAAGCTTTATTATAAAGAAACACTAGACATTTTTTATGATATTTCGCCTCCTGGGCAACTAGGTCACCAGAACTTAATTTTGCCAAAAGAGCTGTGTCTTGAAGTTTTATGGCACATTCGCGTATTCTGTTATCGGTACTAAAAGTGGACACTTCATGGAGGGTTCCTGG